CCAGCCATTAAACCCTCGTTCTGCCCTTTGTGTTTTAAAGAAGCTCTATGGACAGTATGGTTTTACACAGTCCACATAACTGCAGGGTTTTGACAGCAGCTCAGTGATATATCAGATTTCAAATGAATTTTCACAAAGAAGTTATCTACTTTATTCTAGCAGACTTTACTATTTATTAATATATAATGTAACAAGCATGTTAACCATGTTTAATAGGTCTTTGACTAGAAATGTGAAACCCAGTGTAACAGTTAGGACTCTGCAGTGTGCAGCACCTGTACCATAAGGATTATGGGCAGACATACTGTATAAACCATGGCCTAAACAAAACCAGGACTCTGCAGTGTGAGTATTGTCCTTCAGGCAGTCACACGCCATCTAATGGTGACACTGGGCAAATCAAGGAATGGCTCATGAATGGATGTATTTATTGTGGAATCTAGACACGCCTTCAGGCAACAGGGGAAGGGGGGCACCTGGAAGGTTCACAGCTGGCGTGCACAATACTGAGTGGCTGCATCTGTATATAAAACAAAAAGAGTCACCAACTGACAGTGGGAAGCTTTAGTCTGCTCTGTTCACAAAGACATTGAGAAATCTCAGGTTTTCTGATTTCCTCTCATCTTATAGTGTTGTGTAACAGTAAACAGACATTCACAGTTAAAGAAAGTCACCTCACTAAGTCTGTTGTTTGCTCCTTGTCTTCCTTTTGTAGAGGAGCCACAGAAAAGCAGCCAACAGGAACACACCCACTGGGGTCACACATGCAACCAGAGGGAAGAAGTAACCTGGCCAAGGGGCATAGGAGAAGGCTGGGAGGGAAGAGAGAGAGACAAGAGGTGTACAAAAAAGGAATTAATTCCTATGTTACAAGGAACTAAATAAAAATGAGTCAAATTCTGTTGTAATCAACTGTTGTGTCATTTAAACCACATGACGTTTTGTACGGTGAATAAAACACGTACTTCCTCACATTCTATGCACTGCTATTGTAAAATTAATGTGAGATTTCGGCACAACGCTGAAACAGCAACGTGATCTGAAGCCGGCAGAGGGACTCTGATCAGCAGGTGGACCAACAGAAAGCTGACGTACCTGTCGGTTGGGCAGTGACTTCAGGGGAAACAGATGAAGGTGTGGATGATCCCAAACTGGAGCTTAAACCCTGTGTTGGTGCTGGTGTGGAGGTTGGTGGGACTGGTGTTGATGAAGGTTTTGAAGTGGTTTGAGCTGTAAACGATGAACACAAATAACAATCAGATTGTGATTCAGTACTGATGTGAATCTACAGTTAATTTAACAACTCTATATGAAGCTCTCCTTCACAAGCAAAGAGAAGCAGCTAAACTTCTCACGCTGGTCTCACCTGCACCTGCAGGCTGCTCGCTGCTCTCAGGGGAAACCGATGAACCTGTGGAGCTTCCTGAACTGGAGCTTGAGCCCAATGTGGTTGGTGTTGTGGAGGTTAGTGGGACTGGTGTGGATAAAGGTTTTGAAGTGGGCTGAGCTGTAAACAGTGAAAACACAAATAAGATAGTCTGATCCATCCATCCACTCTCTGCTGCTTCTCTGGAGTCAGGTCACAGTGGCAGGCTAATCAGACTAATGCAGGCATCCGCTCCTTGGCAACAGTTTTTAGCTCGTCCCTAAAAAATCCCAGGTCAGATGAGATATATAATCTCTCCAGCATGTTCTGGGTCTATCCCAGGGTCTGCTACCAGTTTTACAGGCCTGGGAAGCCTCCAACAGGAGGTGTCCAGGAAACATCCTGATCACATGACTGACCCACCTCAACAGGCTCCTCTTGATATGAGGAAGCAACTAATTTAATCCCAGGACGCTCTGCTTCCAAAGTAAATGAAATTAGCCTAAAGAAAGCTCCAGAAAAAGGGTTTTCATACTGGTCTGGATGTCTGAAACCGCAGCTCCATGAAGTGTACCTGTATCCGCCAGCTGCTCGGTGCTCTCAGGGAAAACTGATGAAGGTGCAGAGCTTTTTGAACTGGAGACTGAGCCTAGTGTGGTTGGTGGTGTGGAGGTTGGTGGGACTGGTGTTGATGAAGGTTTTGAAGTGGTTTGAGCTGTAAATGATGAAAACACAAACAATCAGATTGTGATTCAGTTCTGA